ACATGATTATCTGATGAATAGATGTGGATCTGGGGGGGGTTGCAAAGGAAATCTGTCATCTTGGATCCAAGATGGCGCCTTAGCAACCCCCTTAACCTACGGCCCCAGATCTACATCTATTCATCATGTGGGTTTTTTTGCGTGTGACGTCATCAATTTTAGTGTTACTTACTGAATTATCTCCCCCTGTTTCCAATAGGTGTGTATATTTAGTGTGACGTCATTTTGACGGAATTAACTCACCTTGTTTCTGACTTTTTACCTTCTGATTTCAGGTATTGCATCCATGAACAGCTCTTTACACTTTAATAATCGTACGGATACGTTTTTAAATGACCCTTTTAGTATATACGAGTCTATGCAATTAGGTACGCGTTTCGTTGTACAGCGCAAATGTCCTCTGATCCCTCATTATTTTGTCGTCTACTGTTTTTGTGACTCTACCGGGGTCCGACAATACAATGTCTTTCATCACAGAGAAGTTGACAGTCCTGTCGTTTTGTACGTTCTGGGAAAATCACCTGACCTTACACGTAGTGTTGTTTTTATTTGTGCGGTACGCGTAGTTCTAAGGTCCGGCAGAAACGAATTCAACTATGCATTCACAATGGGGTAGCTTCGGATGACGTCACGGTCGTCGAACGTGACGTCACTATCATCGATGTGTGTATTTCTGTTACGTCATCAAATTTAGTGTTACAGACTGAATTATTTCCCCCTGTTTCCAATAGATGTGTATATTGCGTGTGACGTCATTCTGCCTCTGTTTTCATTGGATTGTCAAGCAGCAGAAGTCGTTCGCCGAGCTTTTTCAACAACTGTAAATCCATCGGAAGCTTATGAAAGGAATATGAAAAGGTTGTATTTTGAGACTAAACTTATTCAAAATATAAAAACAAATACGAAATAATCTTTTTTGATGTAAAAATATGCAGTTACTGCTGATTCTGTATTGTATTTTGTCCTTATTTTGTCATCATTTGTCCATATCTGTCCACTATTTGTCGACCTTTGTCCACTATTTGTCCACCTTTGGCAGTGTTTCCATTTATGTCCATGTCAGTCCTTCCACCTATGTCCATATGTCAGTCCTTCCATTCATGTCCATATGTCAGTCCCTCCATCTAAGTCAATGTCAGTCCTTCCATCCATGTCCATGTCAGTCCCTCAATCTATGTCTATATGTCAGTCTCTCCATCTATGCCCATATGCCAATCCTTCCATCTATGTCCATATGTCAGTCTTTCCATCTATGTCCATATGTCAGTCCTTCCATCTATGGCCATGTCAGTCCTTCCATCCATGTCCATGTCAGTCCTTCAATCTATGTTCATATGTCAGTCCCTCCATCTATGTCCATATGTCAATCCTTCCATCTATGTCCATTTGTCAAACCTTCCATCTATGTCCATGTCAGTCCCTCCATCTATGTCCATATGTCAGTCCGTCCATCCATGTTCATGTCAGCCCTTCTATCCAAGTACTTTAACTCTATAATACGTGACTTTTCCGTCGCGAAACATGTAAAATATTATACTTAAGTAATCTAGTTCATTGCTAACAGTTGATAACATAGTGTTCCAATGTGAGTTTGCACGCACTGTCTTACGAAAACGCCAATTCATGTAACATTTAATCAAGTAGCTCAACATGTTTGTTCATTGTTAAAACTTCTTCAACATACTGGATAGTTGGTAGTATTCCCACAATGTCATGCATATTCCATGTTTGATAGGTATGACATTGTCGCTGCTGTGACTTCCGTAAAATTTTCTGATGTCTACACATGCGTAGGGTCTGCTTACCGAAACATAGATATTGTCACCAAGGTGACTAAACATATATGAAGGGTGTATTGATAGACGATGCTAGTACCTGTGATCATCGAAGATTGAACATAGTAATATTGTTTTGAGTTTTATATTCTATGGACGAGGTATTTGCTGTTTCCTATTAGCATTTATATTGGAAATGATTTGAAAGTAGGTCCAAGCATAAATATATAAAAAAAACTTCCCTCGGGTCGGAGGTGGTAGAAGGCCTATATTTTGACCTGGTGAGGACAAAGCATCCTCGATACTCTAGGGGTTACGTTCACTTATACGCTCTCTGTACCCCTGGAATATGTCAAAGCAAAATCGAAGGCACGCGGCTAGCAATTTGATCGGTCTCAGGTAGAAGAAAAAAATGACCATTCGATACCTGGGCATATGAAGATTACAAATTTCAAGTCTATTGGTTCCCTCAGATACATTACAATGTACAAAATGGAGTACAGAGATGCTACACCCAACTACAAAGCCAGGGGAGATAATTTCGTAGGTAATGCGAAATTGATGACGTCACACACAATACACAAACACTTATGAAATGATGTGGAGGGGGGTTATAGTTTGTGTATTGTGTGTGACGTCATCAATTTCGCATTACCTACGAAATTATCTCCCCTGTTTCCGCCTTTTGCTTCTGATTTCAGGTATTCTCTCCAGGGCTTTCTCACCAATGCTTCGTCGACCTTACAAAAACGCCATTAATAGTAACATGGAAGCCGAATTAGGAAGGCTGTGGAAAGACCAATCAGAGTTTGACTAATCAGATTTGAGCAGCTAAATGCAACGACCAATCAGATTTCGACCAATCAGATTTGAGCAACTAAATGCATCGACCAATCAGATTTGAGCAACGATATACAACACACGATGCTGTGTACATTAACAAATTTCATAAGTTATTCCCTAAGTTTGATTTGTCTGATTGTTAGCATTGATTTGAAAGAAACAGAAAACAAACGTTTTAGTTGGTAAATACCAAACTCTTTTTGTTACTAGTTATCTATAATCGCGCTACATGCACTTCAGCTAAAATTGAAGACCTCGTTCAAATTCACGTGAAAATCTACAGATTTGAGCAGATATATACATCGACCAATCAGATTTGAGCAACGGTATACAACACACGATGCTGTGTACATCAACAAATTTCATAAGTTATTCCCTAAGTTTGATTTGACTGATTGTTAGCATTGATTTAAAAGAAAAAGAAAACAAACGTTTTAGTTGGTAAATACCAAACTCTTTTTGTTACTAGTTATCTATAAACGCGCTACATGCACTTCAGCTAAAAATGAAAACCTCGTTCAAATTCACGTGAAAATCTACAGATTTGAGCAGATATATACATCGACCAATCAGATTTGAGCAACGGTATACAACACACGATGCTGTGCACATCAACAAATTTCATAAGTTATTCCCTAAGTTTGATTTGACTGATTGTTAGCATTGATTTAAAAGAAAAAGAAAACAAACGTTTTAGTTTGAAAATACCAAACTCTTTTTAGTACTAGTTATATATAAACGCGTTACATGCACTTCAGCTAAAGATGTAGACCTCACTCACTGTTACGTGAAAATGTACATCAAAGTATCAAACTAGTCTTCTTTTCTCATCTACAAGGTGACGCACATTAAAAGAATTGCTCGGTCGCGTAACGGTAAAATTGACTGGCTTTGTAGTTAGGTGTAGCATCTCTGTACTCCATTTTGTACATTGTAATGTATCTAAGGGGAACCAATAGACTTGAAATTTGTTATCTTCAAATGCCCAGGTATCAATTGGTCAGATTTTTTTCTTCTACCTGAGACCGATCAAATTGCTAGCCGCGTGCCTTCGATTTTGCTTTGACATATTCCAGGGGTACAGAGAGCGTATAAGTGAACGTAACCCCTAGATAATCGAGGATGCTTTGTCCTCACCAGGTCAAAATATAGGCCTTCTACCACCTCCGACCCGAGGGAAGTTTTTTTTATATATTTATGCTTGGACCTACTTTCAAATCATTTCCAATATAAATGCTAATAGGAAACAGCAAATACCACGTCCATAGAATATAAAACTCAAAGCAATATTACTATGTTCAATCCTTGTATGATCACATGTACTAGCATCGTCTATCAATACACCCTTCATATGTGTTTAGTCACCTTGGTGACAATATTTATGTTTCGGTAAGCAGACCCTACGCATGTGTAGACATCAGAAAATTTTACGGAAGTCACAGCAGCGACAATGTCATACCTATCAAACATGGAATATGCATGACATTGTGGGAATACTACCAACTATCCAGTGTGTTGAAGAAGTTTTAACAATGAACAAACATGTTGAGCTACTTGATTAAATGTTACATGAATTGGCGTTTTCGTAAGACAGTGCGCGCAAACCCACATTGGAACACTATGTTATCAACTGTTAGCAATTAACTAGATTACTTAAGTATAATATTTTACATGTTTCGCGACGGAAAAGTCACGTATTATAGAATTTAAGTACTTGGATAGAAGGGCTGACATGAACATGGATGGAAGGACTGACATATGGACATAGATGGAGGGACTGACATGGATATAAATGGAAAGTCTAACATGGACTTAGATGGAGGGACTCACATATTGACATAGATGGAAGGACTGGCATATGGACATAGGTGGAAGGACTGACATGGACAAAAATGGAACACTGCCAAAGGTGGACAAATAGTGGACAAAGGTCGACAAATAGTGGACAGATATGGACAAATGATGACAAAATAAGGACAAAATACAATACAGAATCAGCAGTAACTGCATATTTTTACATCAAAAAAGATTATTTCGTATTTGTTTTTATATTTTGAATAAGTTTAGTCTCAAAATACAACCTTTTCATATTCCTTTCATAAGCTTCCGATGGATTTACAGTTGTTGAAAAAGCTCGGCGAACGACTTCTGCTGCTTGACAATCCAATGAAAACAGAAGCAGAATGACGTCACACGCAATATACACATCTATTGGAAACAGGGGGAAATAATTCAGTCTGTAACACTAAATTTGATGACGTCACAGAAATACACACATCGATGATAGTGACGTCACGTTCGACGACCGTGACGTCATCTAAAGCTACCCCATTGTGAACACATAGTTGAATTCGTTTCTGCCGGACCTTAGAACTACGCGTACCGCACAAACAAAAACAACACTACGCGTAAGGTCAGGTGATTTTCCCAGAACGTACAAAACGACAGGACTGTCAACTTCCCTGTGATGAAAGACATTGTATTGTCGGACCGCGTTAGAGTCACAAAAACAGTAGACGACAAAATAATGAGGGATCAGAGGGCATTTGCGCTGTACAACGAAACGCGTACCTAATTGTATAGACTCGTATATACTAAAAGGGTCATTTAAACACGTATCCGTACGGTTATTAAAGTGTAAAGAGCTGTTTTCACTCCTTTTGTCGTTACAGGTGCTACATCTGAATCAAAATCGGCGTCACTCTTTACTTTGCGAATCGATTAAGGACCCCTGTACTATCTTTGTAAACCACTTGTACTCCAGATGGACCATAAGTAACTCTTATACTTTTCACTTTCGATTATGACGTCACACTAACGGATAGTTGACACGACACCAGGCTTTGAAGGACGGTTCAGTCTACGAATAGCAACGATTATCAGGTATTTTTGTTTTACTTTAAAACGTATTTCATGACAATTCTAACTATTTCTTGAATCGTAACTGTTTTAAAGCTATAGAATAGCTAGAAATTGTTAAGCAACTTCAGCTACAAGTTTATCGGCAATTGACAGGGTTGTCTAACAGCTTGCAATGATCTATCTTCGGCTATGACCAGTGCATCTACAGTATGGAATCCTTGAAACAACCCTTTACAAGACATGATAGATGTCTTACAAAATAGATGAATACTTATGCATGCAATATGTTTATAGAAATATCTAAACTTTCGTTTTCGTGGGGGAAAAATAGCTATTTTCGTTTATGCTTCCCAGGGATAATCCTGGAGGGGGCCATTGACCCCTCAAAACTGAAATTGACCCCTCCGTCTTCCAATGTTCTTTTGATTTTACATAGAAGCCTGAGTTAAGAGCTGATATCGATCGATGGAAGTGACGTCACGTTCGACGACCATGACGTCATCTAAAGCTTACCGTACGATTCTGACAATATGCAGTCTATCCGACTTCCTCCGCCAACACCAATCAATACAACGGCAAGCAGACACGTACAGGAAGGAACGACAAAACATATCAAACGACAAGGAGCGCATTAGGAAACAACATCGTCAAAGAATGCATAGAAAACGACGTGCAAGCGGTCAGTATTATTACAAACTACCCTGTAAGTATAAGTATATTGTAAAAATAGTGCATTTGCTTTTCTGTTTTTTTTTTAATGTATTGATATCTTTTTTTTTCTATTTCTTTCAGTTCAAACAACACGACAACACTTCTTATTGGCCATGTTGAGCGAGAAAAACCAACACTATTTTTTATTTGAAAAAAGGCATTCGTATTTTTTTAACACCTTAGCTTATTTAATCAGCACATTGTAAATAAAAGAATTATATTATATTGTAAAAAACGCATCTTATTACTATTTATTGTTTATAAATATGTTTTATGCATAAGCTTATCAAGGAAAATGAAAAGATATGATTAAAAAGAGCAGAAATAAGCAGAAAAGAAAAGAGAGAAAAAAAACAGGTCTGTCAAGCATTGCAGAGAGAGAGACAGTCCATGGATGCAATACCTGAAATCAGAAGGTAAAAAGTCAGAAACAAGGGGAGTTAATTCCGTCAAAATGACGTCACACTAAATATACACACCTATTGGAAACAGGGGGAGATAATTCAGTCAGTAACACTAAAATTGATGACGTCACACGCAAAACACCCCACATGATGAATAGATGTAGATCTGGGGCCGTAGGTTAAGGGGGTTGCTAAGGCGCCATCTTGGATCCAAGATCCTAATCTAAAACTTGTTATGTGGCATTGTGTGTAGAGTATATATTACACTTACTAATTCCCTGAGGCATGTGAATTAGTCGACATTGACACAACTCCGAAACGTATTTCATTTCACATTCCATTTGACAGGCTCCGACTGTGTAGGAATACATGTCCATGTACATCAGTGGCCGCGTCACACACTTCCCGTGGGGCGGTGGAACATTGTGTGCCTGATGAAATCAAAACAGTCATTGGGTGACTAAAATGCAGGTGGTGAATGGGTTTTAGAGCAACCTATGTTCAATTCGAGGTAAAACTGCCGAAGTCTGCATCCGGCAGTTTTTTTTATGAAAAAATCCTATTAATTTGATGTCATTACTATTCTCGTGAAACACAAAATTGAAACCCTATGACTCAAGTAATAATAATATCAGATTTGAAAAACAAATGACTGAAATATTTCATCTTGTGATAAAATCCTGTTGAGTTTTGCAAGCCAATGGACCTCTTGTACTTTGCTGTCAAAAAGGATATTTGATATCGATACACCAATGATACAATGCCTGCTTGTTTTTAACACTGGACGTCAAGACGTAAATGGTGTGATGCTGACTTATACCTCGGTTACCTAGACGTCAATACCGTAAGGCCGACATATGCAAACCTTTGATACTGACCTAATGTCGACGTACTGTATACCTTCGATACCTTAACTTAAATGCATGCAGTCCATAGGTGTCTTTTATAATGTCTTATATTGCTGATGTATACCTTTGATACCTGGACATCCATGAATCCGTGCCGGCCAGTTGGGAGCTCGTTTCCGTACTCTGGCATTGGGACCTCGGTGGCACTGTGGAGGACGACTTTTACTCCACTACTACTATGGAGGCCCACCATACTGTCATAGTCTTCAGCATTCAACACCAAGTCTAGACCATTGTCCACCCCTTATACAGCGCAAACGTCATAGTTTGTGATCACAATAAAACACAATGTCATATAGAAAAACACAATGTCATATAGATGGAGAACATTCAATATGTGTGATTCAATATTTCTGAAATCATAACAATTTTCAACATCGTACTGAATGTTAAAAGATTTAATATTTCATTCAGTTCTTTATAATGACGAAATAACACACTAATGGACATGTGAGGTAGTTTTGTTTATTCGAGTATTTGCTCATTCCAATCAGATGTGTTGACCAGTACCTTACCTGGTAAAGCTAGTGACCCACAAGAACACTTTTGCCGTACTCAGCGGGTGTTTTACCTAGAGGAAGACCCTCACTTGGCGATTCGCAAATCTAACCGTCCTTAGTTGATGTGTTACCTAGAAGAAGACCCTCACCTGGTAATTCGCAGATCTGACCGTCCTAAGCTGATGTGTTACCTAGAAAAAGACCTTCAACTGGCGATTGGAAGATCTGACCGTCCTTATTTGATGTTTGCCTAGAAGAAGACTCCACTGGGCGATTCGCAAATCTGGATGTTAAATCAAATGTCGACGATCCTACCGTCCTCAATTGATATGTTACCTAGAAGGTAATCCTTACCTGGCGTGTCGACGATCCTACCGTCCTCAATGGGTATGTTACCTAGAAGATAATCCTTACCTGGCGTGTCGACTCCTACCGTCCTCAATGGGTATGTTACCTATAAGATGATCCTTACCTGGCGTGTCGACGATCCTACCGTCCTCAATGGGTATGTTACCTAGAAGATAATCCTTACCTGGCGTGTCGACTCCTACCGTCCTCAATGGGTATGTTACCTAGAAGATGATCCTTACCTGGCGTGTCGACGATCCTGCCGTCATCAATTGATGTATTACCGAGGAATGTGAAACATTTTCCGTGTTGAGTCATCACTGGTTTAAAGTCAGACCAAGTACAGGTCTCGCCTTTCCATTTGCAACTATTGGATTGTAAATGATTTTGATTTTTCACCATTTGTGTAGGCTGCAGTTTTAACAAATAACAAATGTTCATGTCGATAGCTTTGTATACATTTATTAATGTATTGTAAATACATTTTTGCTACTGATGGTGTAGTGGAAATGGTTGGCTTGATAAATATCAATGTTTTGAATATGAAAAATATTAAAATCCTTACGTGACAATAAGGTCCTGGGCACGATGAGAATTATTCATAAACAATGTTTCCATGGTGACGTTATTCCATTTATCAAGTAAACCATCTCTGCTGTCAGAGGTCATAGAGTCTTCCTTAGTTCCGTATAGGGCCTTCAATACATCGTAATCGCCATTCTGTACTGACAGCGTCCTTCTTCAATGGCAGAATGTAACACTTGTCAACATTTGATACAAACCTGAACCTACCCTAAGGGCCTGTTACACACTTCCAATGTATCTCGCCGGGACTAGACCGGAGCAAAAAATCAACAACGGCGAGAAAAAATCGGCAGAGCTCCGGCGATAAAGCACTTGAAAAAACTTTTTTTTTTTCACCGTAGCAATACCGATGTTCTACCAGCATTCCCGTTGCGATATGTTGCTCTACCGTTGTCCTACCGATGTAAGAGCCGATGTGCTACCGAATACCACTTTTGTGTCGTTAGTTCATCCGCGGCGCATCAGCACTACTTCGCTAGTATTCGCTAGTACTACGGTATTCCATCGGTACCAGTACGGTACAAATTGAAGCCATCGGAGAGCTGATGATCCATTACCGGGCGCTACCGGTGTTCTATCGACATTAACGAAGCCATACCACCGAGTACTGCCGAGTACTGCCGCTGTAGTCTTGTTGCTCGCTCCGGCAGCGCAACGGCGTAAATTTTCAAAGTGCAAAAGTTTCTACCATCGCCTGCCGTTGCAACACTTTTCGCCTGTGTTCTGACGATGTCCTGACGATGTACTTCCGTTCTTAGCGATGTGATACCGTTGCGCTTTTGTACTAGCAAATTTGTGCTCCGGTATAGTTCCGGCGACCCAAATCGGCTAGGTGTGACAGGCTCTTTAGGGGAATAATATCGATAATATATAATTAATTCGAAACCACAACATATTATATTTGACTATTACACGGATCTAAGAAATAATAAATACATGTACGATCATTATGATGGAATATATAACGTGGAGGAAAAAAGGACGGACAAAATAATGGGCAAAAGCCGCTTCGAATGCCAAGCTAGATATTCTAACATAATACACAAACAAGTATTGATGATCAAAATGGAATCAAATGTTTTTACATGTTTTTCTCAATGCAAGTACGGCAACGTGACAATGGAATTTTACGAATATGTGTTATATTTGTATTGGTGCTTAAAGTAGAAAAAAATGAAACTTCTTTCTCTTCCCGTACCTAAAACAAATATTTTATCCTGGAAGTAATGCTGACAATATACTTGCTCTATCTCCAACGGAATTTAATTAAGAATAATTATCATCAAATGACATGCATTACCTTGACATAAACACTCACCGGAAGCTGTTTTGGTTACATATGGTAACGGCAGGAAACTGCATGCTCTCCTTGTAATGGACCTGGACGTTGATGGACACCGGATACGACATATAGTGCTGTAATCTCTCCGCAATGTCAACAGTAAGCAGACACATGCTTAACACGCAAAGGGAGAACCAAATTATCCTGTAAGTTTACAAAGCGAGTACTAATTTCGTTATCATACGTTTATAAAATTGGAAATTCTTCAGGTAAGACTGAAAGCGTATAAGATCCCACTGTAATTTACTCTTTCATCGAAATACACGCGGGTAATTGTTTTCCCAAATGTACAGCGATCACTGTATACCCGGATGTATGAAAATAGTTTTGGCAAAAATTGATTTAGTTTTATATCATCAGTATGAAAAGTCCATGAAATAAAGATCGTCCTGGTACGTACTATACGATCAACCTTTAGTGCTATAAAACATACAAACCAGGGCTATTCAATAAATTCTGTTACTAGTGTCAGGAATCACATGAATAAAAGGTTGACATTTCTTTCAAAGTCCTTCGACCTTAGCAGAAACGCACTTTCGCAATCGCGCTACATTGTATCCCTGACGTAAACGCTCTGCGGCAGTCCCTCTTGGTATTCTGCTAGACACTAGACGATTGCAATACGAAGAGCACTCCCAGAGGCAAACCGTTTCCCGGAGAGCGTTTTCTTTAGTAACGGAAACGGGTAGAAGTCACGTGAACATGGATCTTGCGAACAGGGTGGGTGGTCAATTTATACCACTTTTTTTGCTTCAAAAAATCATGTTTAATATTATTGCTTTTGTGGAACGAAGCTTGGTCATGTGTAAGCTCGATGATATGCAACCTTTCTCTTGTAAAATCTTTAGACAGGCTTTAGCCCTTTGTCGTGGCCGTGATTGTTTTCCTTTCTAGCAAAGTATCTGAACCATGGCTCAACAAAATGTTCTTGGTATAATTTTTACGCCTTGCACTCACTGGCCTTTCCGTGATTTCTCGACGACCATTCTCTGTTATTAATACGTCTCTATGGTTCAAAGTAATAGATCATTTTTTTATCCCCTGTCAGTAACTAAGGTAGCTTTCTTGCGTCGCTATTACCGAACT